TCGTTGTCTGTGAAATATTCTGTAACCATTGATGGCTGGTGGTTTCCGTGCTGAACACATGCTCTCCTGCAAGCAAATGATGGCTGGTTGCTTCTCTTTTATAAGTATGTCCAGATCAGGTTTGCTAGTCCTTAGTCCTTGGATGTTCCATGAGATTGCGATCGGGTGGTTCTTTGCTGGTACCGTTTTGTTGGCAGAACGTCGAGGCGACTGACAGAGCACAGGTTGGGCTGTAACGTCCTCGCTCCCGTCCCCCGAATTGTCCTCTTCTCCAAGGAGAAGCGGGGAGGCTACTTTCTCTTCGCACTGCCCCAACCAACCTGCGGTGTTGCGTGGCCCTTGTGATGAGATTGGGATATCCATTGCGTTTGTGAGATTTCTACTGTCCATTGTGTTATGTTGTTGATTATTCCGATATTCGTATCCGTGTTCGTTGCCAATGTCATTATTCAACGTTTTCATATTTGTTGAATTTATGTTTCTAGACATTTTTCAGTTTTGGTGGTCTTTCTCTCCTAGTCCTTTGTTGGTCACCATTACTTTTGGCATTCTCTTTGTTTTGTTTCTCGGGTTGGCCAATTCGAGATGAGCTCCGGGATCGTATGGCTGTTACTTCCGAGTTTTGCTTCTTACGTTCGTTCCTGCGTCTTCTGGCTGCTTCATTACCTTCTTCGTTGTTTTTATTGTTACTAGGTGTCGCTTGTATTATGTCTTCTTCGTGTCCTTGATCAGCTTCTGTCATGTTAGCGTCTTCTTCGTCCTCGGATATCCCCATTTTTTGTTTAGTTATCGCTCGATTTGCTTTAATTTCCATTATTTCAGCCTTCATTTTTTGGAATTCCGCAATGATGGTTCTCATTTGCTCTACTTCACGTCGTAGCCTTTGGATTTCCCTGTCTTTTTCGGTTTCCTTTGCAGCTTCCTTTAGCTTGATGATTTCCGTTTTTAACATTTCCACTTCGTTTTCTTTTCTGATACGTTCAAGCCGGTCCTGTGCACCGCTCACTCCAGCGTATGTATTTTCCCCGTTTAGTTTCTCATATTCCTTCCTGGCCTCTGCGAATGACATTCCCGTTTCCACTTTCATTTTGATGATCTTTTGCTCCTTGATAAACTTGCTGCACTTTCTGCTGATTGGTTGATGGTTTCCTTGGCAGTTCTTACAGAACGGATCCTGATCGCAGTCATCGAGTCCTTCTGGATGTACTCCAGAGCAATTTTTACAGACTGCAGTGTTTGAGCACTTGGTTTTGGTATGGCCATAGTTACAACAATTGTAGCAAATCATCGGGTTCGGGTAGTACAATCTCGTTGGTAATCGTAATGGGTTAAAGTAGTCATACTTAGGAGCAACGGTTCGTCCAATGGTAAGTATCAGTGTTGGTGTGTTGATTTTTTTCTTCCCTTCTAGTCGAGATATTCTTCGAACTTCAACTACTCCTTGATCTTTAAGCTCCGCTAGTAGATCTTGTTCCGTCATTTCCACAACCTCGTGGCAGCTCACAACACAGCGACACCTGCTTAGAGTGGGATGGAGCTCTACTACAACCTCTGTGCCGTCGATTAGTTTCTTCATGCTGATTAACTGTTTCGCTTGCTGAATGCTTCTGGTTCTAAGCACGTACTTCCTTCCTTTGTCCTCTGTGCTTGCTGATTCGATTTTTCCTCCACATACATCTTCAATGGACTTTCCGATGATGAACGGGACAGGTAGTTTTGAATTTTCGCCAACAGCAGACATTTGTAGAATTAAACGTTCTCCATGCAAGCCAAGGCGGTCCATCCACGCTGGTACAGTGCGGGCATTTTCGTTACTATGCTGCTCATTATTGTCGTCTGGTGGATCACCCAAGAGGGGGTCCCCCGGTGCGGAAAGTGCTGTAGCCATGAGGCCAGGGAGCACAGGAGGTTCAGGATCCGTGTGCAACGCTCAGAATCGTTTTGTATTTTAACCGCTGGTTCAAACTGTTTCCCAACTTGCGCCCTAGCCTAGACTAGTAACGACAACCCTTTCACCTTCTATCTGAACCACCCAAGGGTTAAGGTCCAGGTGGACAGTTTTGCGGCCCCACCGAAGTGGGAGACGACTACGCTTTCTCCTAGTACTATCTCAACCAAGCGTTAAAGGTCCGGTTGTGATAGGGACGTTTTAACCCAACACGTCCAAAGATCCAGGTAAGTTCAATATCGAACAAGTAGATTCGTTCTCCACACGCCTAACGATAGACACTGCTCTTGACCAAGGTTGCAAAGACTCATTTCAGCTAAAACAATGTTTTTCTAAATTATGAAATAATTAGATGCCATGATCAAATTTTGAATTGGTAGGATACAAGAAGAGGTTGCAAAGAATGAGTTTGACATATTAAACCTGTTTATTTCACTTCATGAGAGTCACAATCAGTGATTTTTCACAAACTCACTCACTCACTCACTCACTCACTCAGCGATCAGCAAATCGCTGATTGTGACTCATAGAAAGCAAAATTTACAGGTTTTATGTTTCCAACGCATACTTTGTAACCTCTTCTTGTAAGTTACAAGTAAAACATGCCATCATACCATCTTTTGGTTTTATTATTCCGAAAAACATTATTTTAGCTGAAATGAGTCTTTGCAACCTTGCTCTTGACAATAGAGCAATGCGTTTGTGAGGAGCTTTCACTGGCAGCTAGCTACGGTTGGAGCAAGTTTTGCTTGCAAGCGATGTTGTATGCAATCTTGCTTGCGCTAGCCGGCTTATTCCACGCAAGCTATAGGAATGTCAAACAGTAATCCACTTTCCTTCAGATGCTCTTGTTTACTCAATTTTTAATAAGTTCACTCTGTCTTCCACAATCTTGGCAAAAGTAAACTTCACTTTCTCGTGCCACTAAACACTTTCAGTAACTAACTGAACTTTGAATAATTACAGCCCGGTGGCTATAAACACTCCGAAAAACAATCCGAATTCCACACGTCTTAGCACTCTGTCTATCTGTATAGAGCTTGAAGGTGCGTTCTGAAGGTCAGACGATTTGTGATATTTTTGTATTAATGTTCTAAATCTTTCATAATTTTATTACATGTTCCATTTTAGGTTTTCACAAAGTGTACCCCCATATAGAAATCACAGACGTGGTCCTACGTCAAAAAAGTATCCGAAATATTGCTTCCTGTGTAAAAACAATATTACAAAGCGTACTAGCACAAAGTACAATTTTCAAGTGTCCGTGGTTTGAAACATTCAAAAAATTTGCATTTTTTAAGAGCTTCTTTAAAAAAAGTATGTACAAATTGAAGTTAAACTTTTGGAGATATTTGAGTTTTTCAACACTGTTTTGAAATTTGCACTCAAAATTGCAAAAAAAAATACCATGTTTATTTTTCCAGTAAGACTTTATTTTTCTCTACAACTTTGTCTCAGACGTCATTTTGATCAGAAGTGACGTTTTTGTGCTACAATTTATTGAAAAAAGAAATGACGTGATTTAAAAAAAAAAAGTACAAGTACCAACACGGCCGATATTTTGTAAAAATGTAAATGACTGCCCGTAACATACGATTATGCAAAGTTTTATGCAAATCGGAGAAGGTTGAGCTTTTCCTATTTATTTGGCCTGGAACTGCTCTAAATTTTAAGTTAGCCATACATGAAAAAATATGAACCAACTCCAGTTAAATTTTTGTGGATACATTCATCAGTGTTTGTGTTAGTATGTTAATATCATGAAAGCAAACACTTAAAAATCAGTTGTGGACATGCAATATCCCATAGTCACCAATATCTTCTTCTTCTTATTCGCATTTCAAGCTTATTGCATAGTGCATATTAGCTTATTGCGTGCTCTCAACTTAGTGTTCCTAATGCACTTCCCCAGTTATTAATTGAGACCTTTCGATGCCTAATACCAATGCATGCATTTGTATATTGTGTGGCAAGCACAATGATACTCTATTACCCAGGGAAGTCGAGAAAATTTCCAACCCGAAAGATTCCCTCGACCGGACCGGGAATCGAACCCGCCACCTCCGGCTTGGTAATACCTTGCCTTTACTGACTAGGCTATGAGGCCCCAATATCTACGCATTTTTATATTAAAAATATGTGTAGCTATGAGGAATGATGACATTTTGCTTATTTTATAAGTTCTAAAAATTCCATAACGATTGTTTAACAAACATCAGAAATGTTTTAAATAAAAATAAGATTGAAGAGTGGCTCTATTGTTCTGACAGGTAATGAACAAGAAAAAATCGTTGGGAATTTCAAAAGCATCAACAAGATAAGTCATTCTAGATTAGATTCTAGATAAGTGAACTCTAGCAAGAGTCCTAAAGGGCCACACACAATAGATCAGTTTGCATTGCGTTAAATTTGACAGTTAAACAAATGATTTGGCTGTCATTTTGCTGCAACGTCACTTTGCCGGATCTTATGTGGGTGGCTCTTAAGGGAATTATGGAAGAAATTCCCAGGACATTCCACGTGAAATTGGAGTTCGTGCAGCAGTTCCAAGGGATTTTCAGAGGTATGATTATTCCTGGAGAACTTTTAGCGGATTGAAAAGAGGAAATCGAGGGATATATTAGAAAGGCCTTTGATGGATATGTAAAGAGGAATTCCTGATTAGAGAATTTGAGGAATTCTTACAAAAAATCCAGGACACACTGCAAGAACATTCCTAATCTGTTAAAAATAATCTAGAAACTCGTTAGTTAATTTCAGATAATCTTGCGGGGAGTACCATTCCAGATCTATTGTAAAAGAAAATTTGCTGCAAAAATTCCACAAATGATTCCGGCGAACTACTTTAACACATTTTGAAATGAGCTTATAAAAACTATTGCTTGAAAATTTCAGCAATTTTTCTGACATTTTCAGGTATTTGAAAAAAACCTCGAGCTCCACAATTGCTTGCAAATATATGAAATATCGACCGGCGTTTTCTGTGCCCCAGCTGGAGGACTTCCCCGTTGTAAACAATCAATAATATTTCAAAACTAAATAATCGACTTACCGCCGGCAGGGCAAAGAACGAGATTCCAAGTAAGGCGCAAAACGATGCAATAATTTTTCCTTGCCACGTTTCCGGTACCATATCGCCGTATCCGACCGTGCACAGCGTTATCTACTCGAGCAGCCGATCCATTCCGGTGGCGACGACGGTGATGATGTGGTTGCACAGTACACGTAAACCGAGGTGTCGATTTCCCGGAAGTATTTCCAGCAAAGGGTGGCGTTGATTCCGACAGGCATAAGGTGATTTTCCGACCATGAGCAGCAGAAAAGTTGAAACGGGAAAGAGAAGACGTATGAAAACTCGATCAAATATTGAAATTTTAATCTTCCACTGTTCGGATGCTTTCGGAATCTGCAGGAGATGTGAGGTGTGCGTTAATCCCATTACGCTTGCCATGAGTGCTTCCGCCCTTTTGCGGTGTGTGTATTTTTCGATTCGATTAGTAAATCCTAACTTCCGACCGGATTGGTTTATTCAATTATACATTGATGCACGGAAATGTTACCTTGGGTAGGATGGCTTCTGGCTTCTGAGGAAGCAATCTCACATCCCACCTGCCAGCAGAGGCATTATTTAGATAGTGCTAAAAGCATCCGAACAAGCGTTGGTTTTGACTGACTGTACTTACCACACCCCACCACAAGGCTTGAGCAAAGTTATTGAATTTGGTTTCCTTCACATCCTTCTCCATTAGGTACACTAAAAACGAGGCAAAAATAAGGCCCAGGAATCCTATGTACAATGTTGTAATTAATTCCTGAAATGCAAAGAGCAGAGAAATTCGTTAGTAAAATGCATTTTGCTGTTTTAAATGAATGAAATGATGGTGTAGGTTTAAGGTCTCGACATTGATAACACTAATGGAGTTCCAGCGGCGCCGGTGGTGTAGTGGTAAGCGTGATTACCTCTCACCCCAGCAGGCCTGGGTTCAATCCCAGTCGGCGCCGCCGGGATGTTCTGAGGCATAACATTTCTGATGAAGGGAAGTAAAGCCGTTAGTCCCCGGTCCATGAGCTGATGGGTCGATAAGTAGGGTCCAGGTGTGGGAGCTGCCTCCCTGGCATCGGGTAGCATTGGTGCTCAGCTCGGAAAACAAGGTCGACGGAAAACAAATCAGAGAAAAAAAACACTAATGGAGTTCTCTTGACTTTAGTTGGGATACTCACGGATTTAAACTGATCTTTATTGCTTATAGAAGCGTTAAGTTTTCTGAACACGTGTTTGCAATTTTCCCTGGTAATGGTCGATTCTACAGTAACAATGCAAGTATGCAGTATTGGATTTAAATGTCCAACCGACAATAATTGTGTGAACCCATAAATATCAATTTGTGTCACCTGCAGTGTTGAAAATAAACTTGCTTTGTACGAACATTTACATGGCTAACCTCCACATGCAAGCAAGCAGAATAAGAACGATGAAGTTCAACCTAGGACCAACAGAATCACATGATGCCATAAACAAAATGCAAACGAACGTTACATTCCTGGTACCCCAGGTTCGTTCCGCTCCGGATTACGTTGTCCGTTTTTAGGATTATCTCAATGGTTTCTAATAGTTTCACATTTCAATTAGAACGTCACCTGCAAAACCAGTAGACCTCCCCTTTCGGAAACAATATTCAAGTCTAATTAATAATCCACAAACCCTGGAATCTATTCCTGGAAATTAATGCTTTCAAACGAGCCGGACAGCCTTCGCCTTTTTTTCCCAACAGAATAATTACAGGAAAAATACACTATCAAAATAGTACCTATCATTGCGTCTAATGAATACTTCCACGCGAGCAATAAGCGCCTTGGTCGTCGTCGTCATTGGGACGGAGTAAAGCGAGCACGATTAATACGATAATTAGTGACCATAACTTCTAGGAAAGGGGTATACACATACACACACACAATAGAAGTGGGTAATGTGCGGTCCACCCACGGAGGACTATCCGCGAACAAAGCGTCTGGGCATCAAGGGCAATTAATCATTTCACCCATTTCAACGAATGAAACGCCACATTCCGGATGGGTTGACCCAGAAAAACGCCATCTCAACGAGCTCGACCGGGCGGCATCCATGATATCGCAAATTAAAAGAAGCATAATTTTGGTTGTACAAAAACTACCGATGACAATTTAGATAATGAACTTGTGTTGCCTCCTGCCAGGCCCGGGTTTTCCCTACTTTTTGCACTGCTAACCCATGTCTACGTACAATTCTTTCTCATGGAAATTTATGATTCCTTGAGTGGGTAGCACTCCGTCACGTAAGGCAGTCAAGAAACAAGGCGACTAAATAGGAGATTCCAATCGGTTGGCGGCGATTCACACTTCTGTTCACTTGAGATAATGGTGCCCCCGGCGGTCAATTGATTTATGGGTGCTGATGCGAATCTCTGGTTGAAGATGGATGACACTTGTCGTCGAATTGATTCGTCTTTTTTATGGTCCAATAAATGTCACACTTGAGGTTAATAGATTAAGCTTTGAAAGCATTCATCCAAATCATCACTGAACACCGCCACTCCGGAATTGTGGGTCACTCGATGCTTGGTTTTGGCTATCAAATCAATGTTGAGCGGCTTTCAAACTTTTTTTTACATGATTTGTTTTCCGTCGATCTTGTTTTCTCCGTACTGAGTACCAATGCTAGCAGCTCCCACACCTCGACCCCACCTATCGACCCATCAACTCATAAACCGGGGATCAACGGCTTTATCAGAGATGGTATGCCTCAGAACATCCCGGCGGCACCGACTGGGATTGAACCCAGGACTTTTGGGGTGAGAGGCAATCACGCTTACCACAACACCACCGGCGACGCTTATTGTAGAAAGTTGGAATTGACTTTCATTTAAGGAGTACGAAAAATTCCAATGTTCTCCATCTGAGAAGTCTACAAAATCATTGATAACTACACAGTTCAAAAAAGTAGTGTAAATTTCTCTTCAATCATAATCACAATCAAAAAACATCATAATTAAAATTCAGAAATTTTATCTGATGCAATGCAACGAAATGTAACTTTATTGATAGTATTTTATCTTTCAATATATATGTTGCTTACATTCAAAGTGTTTTTATGTTACTTCATACGTGAAGTTTGCGATTTTCGGAGTTGGTTGGAAATGCTTTCTAACATGAAGCTTTAGTGTGATAATTTATTAGCTAGAGAATGGTCTTAGAAGTTTGACTAGCACTGTCGCATTAATTACCCTTCGCTCATTTTAAACTTCTATTCAATTTTCATACTGCCGTACTCTAACGGAACTATCTACCATGCTTGGCATACACAGTTATTGCCACGAACTGCTCATTTGCTAATAACTTTGCACACAATTGACAAAACATAGTTCTATTTGAAGCAGAAGATATAAGAAAGTTTAAGCTTGTAATAAGTACGTACGAAAAAGTAGATTTTAATTCTAGTTATAAACTGTATTTGTTTTTGCGTTGTAAAAATCATGTGAGAAATGCTCGCTGCACATCTCGGACTTAAAGTGTAAAAATTCATTGATGTTGATTCAAATGTTAAGATTAACCTACTCTTTGCATATCTGTAGTAAGCTATGATCCTTATCTATCAATTACTTTAAAGTAAAACAAATTTCAGCAAATGAGTGAAAAGTTTTTAACAAATGAGCAGTTGTTGTGTACAACTGTGCATGCCAAGCATGCTATCTACCTACCCTCTTCTAAGACCATTCTCTAGCTAATAAATTATCACACTAAAGCTTCATGTTAGATAGCATTTCCAACCAACTATGTTGCTAAATTTCCACTTTTACCGATAGTGAGTAGATTTCTACTCACTTTAGAGTGAACATTAATGAGGGTGAACGATAAAGGATGAGGCAATGCAAGAGCTATTGAAAACATTCGATCACTCACAGACAGAATACTCACACAGCATGCTTTGTCATTCAAAACATAGAGTGGGTAGCAACAAGGAAGAGAAATACGTGCTGGTTGAGCTGCCAAATGAGAGCTCTACTGTCAGTGACTTGTTAACTTCCCAATCATTCAGACTCTCACGATGAAGTGACTGTGTAGACAGATTTCTGTTAAATTCATACGAAAATCACTGATTGAATCTTATAATCACTTTAATAAAGTATAAAATAAAACTCTGACTGATTAGCGCTCTGGTCAACATCAACCAGAAAATGGGACGTTCAATTGAGTTGAACGCTGCTTCGAATAACCAGGCAATTACGAAATTACAACATTTTTCGAAATAAAAAAATTGGTACATGTAGTAGCTTTTACTTTTTACCAAACTGGCTGCCAAATATTTTTTCTGTTTTCGCTTCTAAAATCGACATTTTAGGAAAAAAATTCAAATCTCAAATCATGTTTTTTAAATAACTTTTTGCCCATAGGAAGGTGGCGTCATGCTGTTAATAGTGCTGAGATTAAAACTGACAGCTTACTTTAATCCATTGATTTCTCCAAGCAGAATCTCACGAACACTAATGCACCGTGTAAATCCACAGGATTTTAACAGTTCTTACAGCCATTTCTTCAATAAACATCACCGTTTTCTGTATATTAAAGAAGTACCAGTACTCACGGGCCACATAAAATGATACGGTGGGTTACGTATCGTACACACCTGATCTACCCTATAAACGTTCAATGTTTTTTTTATGAACGCCAGTCTCTGTTCCGCAATCGAGGGCCACTCACTGACGAGTTTCGATTGCCAATTGGTGACTAATCACTGAGGCCTCGCAGTCAGTAGAGGTGCAGCTACAAAGCAAGACCATGCTGTAGGTGGCTGGGTGATTGCCAGTGCGGTCTAGGATTTTTTTTCGGATTGAAAAAAGAATGACACTGATAATGACCATGAAGGAACGACATCAATAATGACCTGAAAAATCCTGTTCCCCTACACAGATAAAAAATCTGAATTTTAATTGTGATGTAAACATTCATTCACGTAGACTTGTATTTCGTTTCACGCATCCGAGCAACTTGCAAACAATGTTGTTTACAAAGATGGGCTTTTGTATACAATATTTGCTACATTGCATGAAATTTGTCAGAACTTAACATGATATATTGTGTTGGAGTGTTCGACTGTGAGGTTTTACAATAAACAGTTTCGGCTTGGCAGTCTGGCTATCACTCAATCAGAACAAATTAATTTTGTAATTTGTCCCTACGTTTCGGCTCTGATTAGGGCCTTCTTCAGGGGAAAATTGTTGGATTTGTTCTTTGTCTAAATACTGTTTGAAGTCTAACGTCTGTTTTTCTGGTGGTAAGTTTTTATACATAGCGGTTTTTAGTTGAATATTCAAAGTTTTTTTTGATATTTTTTTTATATAATTTGTGTCGGGTATAAATTTTTTTGCGGTTGTGCACTCTTCGAGGGTTATGGTGGCGTAGAAAATAAATAAAAAAAGGTTGAGGTTGGGATTGAACTCGCGACCATCTACTTGGAAAGCGGAAACGGTAATCACTATGCTACCAACGTTTTATTGTTAGCCTGAAACAGTGTTGTGGAATAATGAATGAATACGCCGTTTGTAAAGCATGCAATTAAAACATGGATGCATAGTGGTATAATAGCTATTATGCTGACTGTATTCACCTTTATTCAGCAATATTGTTAAGCAATGCAATGGAATCTAATAATGGAGCTAGAAAACATTTATTAGACGTCTAATAAAGTTTGTTATTGAATCAATTGAAAACAGTCGAATTAAAGCGTCTATGTATGTGCAAATTACACTTATTCAGTTTGTTATTAGATCAAACTACT